ACTCCAAGTCCCCCCGGTCTGGATGCAGTCTGGCTTTACCCCCAGTCCTGCAGGTCCTGGCCACACCTGCTGCTGGTCACTGAGTCTGTGCTGTGTTCTCTTCCAGGACAAGAGGTGCACTCTGACCCCACCCTGCCCCACCAGCGGTGGCAGAGGCAGCAGACACCCAGATGAGCTGGGGCCTGAGACCGTGCCCGCAAATCAGTGCCCCAGCGGCCGCTGGTGACTAGAGGAAACACGGGGCAGAAGGCAGCATGGGAAGGGAGGAGAAGGAAGGTTCAGGATAAGGAGATGAAAGGGGGAACGGATAGCACTGTGAGGACTTGGACCATAAAAGGGAAGAGAAAAGAGAGTGACAGCTGGAGCGGTGTTGGTGTTAAAAGTTGCAGGCAATTTTTTTTAATTTTACTAATTACCAATATAATTGACAGATTTCTTATTTTATTAAAGATTATGTGCCATGTCATATAACAGGATATAGTATGTTATTATTTATTAAATAACACATAATAGAAGATATACTAGCATTTTATGTTTATTTATTAGCAGATTATATATAATACATATGTAGGTGTTTATATACATAATATATAATTCATCCATCTATATAATATATAACCTATAACAATTAATGTAAGATTATGATTAATATATAATATAACAAGATTACATAACAATAATGAAGTAGTTTTACCCATTGTATGTCTTGGTTCATGACAAATTCTCATCTTAGGTGCCTGTCAGAGGTATTTACATATTAAAATTAATATTATAAGACACAGTTATGAACATATCACCCAGCATCATAACAGGAATATTGACAGTGACATACTGTGTCCTCTTTCCCTATCCTGTCCTTGGCCTCTTCTCACAGGAAGTAACCAGCATCCTGAATCCTGGCTTACCTTTCTCTTGTGTTATTTTCACACACACAATATTTAAGATCAGTTAAAACTAATGAACTGCAGGTACATGCAACTAAATGGATGAATCACACACTCAATGTTAAATTGAAAAAGTAAGCCCTAGAAGGTAGCCTATAGTGTGCTATGCTTTTAACTGTGTATATATATGTCAACTAAACTCACTAAATTAAGAACAACTACAGCTAGAGTCCAGGTGGGAGAGAGACAGATAAAAGGTGAGGTGAGCAGATTTGCTGCAGGTGAGAGAGATTCTTTCCAGTAACATGTCAGTCTCTCTGAAG